TCTTCTCAGCAGGGCGCTGGGCCAGGCTTGCATGCGAGGTGGGTGGTGGTGGTGATGGGGGGGGCACAGAGTGAGCTGTGGCCTCCCCAAAATTCGCCATAGCTCTCCCCCCTGAACCCATCCTTCCAGCAATGCTACCAACCGGCCTGCACACAGCTGCAGCCTAGCTACCCACAGAGAAGAGCCTGGCACTGCCCCTGACCCCAGCCCACAGCAGCAGCCTGCCCTCACCTGCACCGATCCAGGGGGCACGTGCCCCTCTGTGCCTCCCCCGGGGTGCACCAGTGGTAGGATAGCGGCCCCCCCCTCCCCATGCCCCGGATTGGCCACTAGCAGGTCCATCATGCACCTGGGCAGTGCCTGCCCCTTCCCCAGCCTCACCCCCACCCCCACTCCCTCCCTCACCATAGGGGCCTCAATCTGCCCCCCCCATTCCTTTGCCTCACCCCTGCCCCTTTTCTCCTCACAGACTTACCAGCCGGATGCTGCTCTCCAAGCTGCCTGGCTGTGCACACGCATGCGACATTATCAGCACCATCAGCCAAAAAAAGCCAATTGCCAATAACATAAATTTTGCTTTTATCAGTGCTGATATGAACCAATGTATTAGTGCACCTCTAATTCTGAGGACTCTTCACTGAAAAGTCCTTCTTCTAAGACCTGATATCTAAACTTAAAATGTACCGACACAAGTGACCCATCTGGGAGGAGAGATAATATCAGAGAGTTAGGATTCAGCCTGTCTAGGATCCTATATATAAACTCTTCAAATAATATTTTTTAGTGAACAGGAAGGCTTTAAAGTCTATTGAATATTGAAGTACTGTAATGTATTTCCATCATTAGGCAACCCTATTTTGCACTAGCTACAACTCATGACCTGTGTTCAGAAGCAGCTTTATAGAAAGCCCGTAACAGTAATTCCAGTCTGGAGATCACTCAGACACTGGAGACAATGTCAAGATTCACAGTCATTATGTCAAGCACTGGTGGTAAAAGGCACTTAGGCCAGTAAAACCATCTGAGACTCTATTATCAAAGCAGAACAGAGACCAGTGCAAAGATAGAATCAGCATAATAAAGTATTGCATCTTATACATCTTCATTAACTCCTCTGTGTAGTATTAATTTTGGTGCTGTGAAGGGCTTTGCATTTAAATGGGTGCATCTACACAAGATGTTTACTGTGGAGCTGCCTGATTAACTGCACAGTAAACTTCTCACCATCTACACATGCACCCTATTAGGGCGCACAAAATGAATAAACTCTGCTGCAGGGTAAGACACATAAATACCCCACTGCAGAGTTTTCTCATGAACAGCAGCGCATGTGTAGATGCTGATTGGGTGGCTGGGGTATGAGGGTGCTTCAGTGCCAGAGCTGCCTTCTGGCTAGCCCAAAAATGAAGTACACTTGTGCCCCAGCCAGCCCCTTCACAGCACATTAAGCCTGCTGTGACCTAGCTCAATGTGTTGTGCTCTGGGCACGTGTACAGATGCATACCTGGGAGCTTCCTGGGAGAAATAAACTGCAGAGCAATAAACTCCACAGTTTATTGCTGCCCCTTAATGGCACATGTAGATGCGCTCAAGTAGTGACATAAAAATAAAACAACTAAATTAATTATGCAGACATTGAATGAAACAGAAAGCTGAACCCTGTAGGCCTTTGCATGACAACACATGAATATGCCCACTATGGCTACGTACAGACATTAAAAAAGCCCAAGGTGGAATCAAGCTAAGTTATGTGGTTTTCTGTAAGCAGTGTAGTTTAGATCAGTAGCAAATACAACACATATTTTGCCCTTTGATGGGGAGGGCAAATTTTAGACCAGGTTCTGACATTTTTAAACCAGTCCATGTGTGCCAAACTTCTGTTACAAGTATAGACCAGTTTTGTGTGCCAAACTTCTGTTCAGTTAGGAATATAGACTGGTTTCTGATCACTTATACCAGTAAAAGTGTAATGTCTGTATCTGACCTATGTGTTGCACTGGCAGTTCAGACAGTATGTCCATGTAGCAGTCACTGAAGTGAATGAAGTTTGTATAGAAAAACCCAAGCCGGCTTTCAAGGAACAAGCTGGGTAACTGCCAGCAGTGTAGCTCTGACAGCACAGACCTCAATCTGGGCTCCAAAATTCACCCAAGAAGTAAATGCAAAGGCAAGCAGAGTAAGCTGGGTTCTGGGCTGCCACGGGCTGCTCTGCTGGCAGTACTGAGTTTAAAACTAGTTCAGGTTTGTCAGTACAAGCTGGAGTTTTATGTCAGTTACACAAGCAAATCTAGGGGCTTAATCCATGAACAGATTATGATGCTGACAGCTTCATTACCTTGACATTAAGCCTTTTTAAAGGTGTTTTCAGAAGGAATTAGAAAGAGGAAACCTACCAGACACAGATGAGGTCAGGAAAGTGAGACTGCCCTGTTTCCCTTTCTGTTTAGTCAGTAAACCTGCTAATTTTTGCCAGTGTAATCCCTCAAGTAAATCAGACTTCATTGTAAATGGCAGCAAAACTTGGCTTTTCTGTCTGGCTACTCTTCACTATCACTGATATAATGTGATAAGTGAATGATTAGATAGGTGATAACAATTACATTTGATTTTTACTGTTTTTTCCATTTTAATAATTTATTGTTAGTGTCACAGGATTTTTTTTAGTACATGGGCTGGCATGGCCAGGAGATATAACTTTGGGGGCATTGTATTTTGGGTATTTAGCTTGAACCGCTGGGCCCTGAGATTCAGAGATGCTAAGGATTCACAACTCTAAATGTTCAACACCCCTGAAAATTGTCTTGACGAGGATGCCCAGAAACTGAAGTACCCAAATTATGTCCCAAACTTCTCTGGAGATGTTTGCAGGTGGGCATCTGAGTTTATGTGGTTCCTGCTGTCTGAGTTTATGTGGTTCCGGCTGACATAAATGAGGGTCCCTGGTGACCCCTTTTTCTGAATAAGGGCCATAGCTGCACATGTCTCCTTACAAGATTGGGAATTCAATCTCTTTTGAAAATCTGGCCTTGACAGTGTCCCTTTAAGGTAAGCAATCTCAAACACCTATTATGTGCTCAGCCTACAAACCCTTCTGCATGTGAGTAACCCTATTAAAACCAAATGGACTACTTGAATGTGAAATGTTAATCCCGTGCAGGTTTGTAGGATCAGGCCTATAGCTACAGTTTATAAAAGAAAATACAAAATAGCACATTGTTATATTTCAATTGTTTAAACTTGTCAGTATAGTACCTCTGAACGTTATATTTGGTAATGCTTGTAACAGGAAATGATACATCTGATTTAGAAAGGGGCCTTTTCATGACCTCAAAAATATTCCGTGTCTCATCAGTTACCTGGTAGTATTTTTTCACTGATCTCTATATCTGATTTCCTGTACATATACATATGTATAATCTGATTAACATTTCTATGATGATTTTACAGATAGCTTATCATGAGAAATACGTAGGTTTTCTCATTTTAATAATATACAGCAAGTGGGAAATTCAAGATATACTTATAATCCCAGTGATAATCTAATTATGTATAAACATTTACCTTGGGTTTGAATGCAATGACTTTCAAAACCATTTCAACGGTGAATACTCCCGTGAAAACCATATTCAAAATATCCATTGCATCATTAAAAAGCTTTGACTGTTCGTAGTGCTGTGAATAAAAATTAAAGTACGAAAGAATATTATGTGAAAACAGGCTGATAAAGATCAACAGTTGTCAGTTATAAAGTCCAGCAAAAGGTATGTCCAATTAATAGCTCTGCTAAGAATTCTTCAGTGGAAGAATGTACTACTAATACAAAAAGGATTGGATGGCTTTTGTTTACAACTGAGTTAATCTCAAATGTAAATGCTTATCACTGCATACCTTGAACAGTCCCTGAGAGACAGATTCAGAAAGAAAACTGGTCTTTCAAATGATCAGTAACAATAAGAGTGGACAGGACAAAGCTAGATAAGCAACAGCCATTTAGCATGCCTGATACAACTGTGTGACATACCACTAATATATCTATTTAGAACAGCTGATAGATTGTATTAAGACTAGAAGGGAAGGCATTCTAAAGCAGTGGGGAGCCAACCCTCTGGGCAGGCATGTCACAAATTAGCCCTGCACTCTCTGAAACTGCCACTCCCTTTCCCCTGCCTGACATACTGCTTTGCTTTCTGTCCTATCTGCTGCTGTGCTGCCTTTCCCCGCCCTGATTCACTGCACTGTACACACAGAGGCTGTCTGTGCTACTTGTGGCACCTGTGCTGCAGGTTGGCCATCCCCATCCTAAAGGATTTAGACAACTTATATGAGTTTACTGATTGAAACTCAAAAAGCAAAGAACATGCATAATCACATGTAAGCCATGTACAGGCATTTTGGTTTGTCTGGGAGAACTGCTGCTCTCCTGGTAGAAACTATGGGTGCTTGCAAACATGGAAAATAAAAATAAAACAATGCTGTACTTTCAGCTTGGCATGCCCCTGTGCTGAGCATGGCACATGACCAGAAAAAGAACTGTGTCAATTTGACCCAGGTCGCTTGAATCAGCTATTAGATAAAAGCTCCAAAAAGCCCTGTTGAAGTATACAAGCTATATAGATGCTGGGCAACCCAGGTCAAACTGACACAATTCCTCTTCTCGTAAAGCACTGTTTCTTTTTTCCCATGTTTGCTGGCAACCCATGAGCATACAAGCGTTAAGTCAATTTTTCCTGGGAGGGGAGGGAAACATGCCTCTTCCACAAGAAAGGTCTTCTAGGGCTAGGGACAGACATTCAAAAAGCCTGAGCCTCAATTCATTCAATCTTTGCAGGTTAATCTAGCCCGCCTAGGCTGAATCAGTTTGTAAGTGCACAGACATCCCCTCTGGACTGAAAAAAATGCAGGCACATGCCTGCAGAGGCTCATCCTGGAAGCCGGGGGGCGGGGGCGGCGCTAGAGTAGCCCTCCCTTCCCTTCCGTAGTGCTGAGCTGGGGGGCGGGGGGTGTCCAGGCCCTGGCAGGATGCTCTGATTAGGGGGGGATCTCCCTCCTCGCTGGTCAGCGAGGGAGCCAGCAGGGATTTACACAGCATTTAGTTACAGAGCAGGGAAAATGTATTAGCCCATCAGCACCAAAAAAAAAGTATCTCTCATTAGTTCAAGCTCTTCTTAAACAACTTGTTCCAAAGAAGGAATAGAGGGACATTACCAGCTACCTGTTGATTAGCTCCCAAAAGACCCAAACAGCACTGTCTTGCCTGCCTTTGTCCTATCTCCCACAGCACGGATCGTAACCAGCATGTAGTATGCTAGCTAATGCTGAGAGGTGTCTGTGTAAGGCAGAGGGGAGGGGGGAATCCCTGCTTAAGCAGGGACTGGTGAGGGGGAAAGCGGAGAGCAGGAGGAAGCCAGGCAGACACTGTGTGCCTGCAAGTCTCTGCCAGAGCCGTGGCCAGGGAGCAGAGGGGAGGGACCAGCCCAGCCCTCTGGAGCAGAGAGCCCCATCCTGCCCAGAAAGCATGCCGGGATGCTGGGGGACTCTGATTTAACTTAAACCAGGAAGGGGACTGGGACAGACACTGCATAAACTGGTTTGACCCAAATCAGTTAAGTCTGATATTACATTCAACCAGGTTTACCTCAAACCAGTTTCAGCCATTTTGAAACTGGTTTATGTGCACTGAGCTTCTGTTCTGTTACAGGTTTAAATCAGTTTCTGATCACTTAAACCAGTTTGTGTGTAATGTCTGTCCCTAGCCTAGGTGTCAACCCAGACAATCTCACTTGCAATAGAAACTCTCTTGCAAGAGTAAAAGCTTGTGCACACTCATTAACTGGACTTTAACAATTCTTTCCATTTTAAAAATCTATTGTGTTGGTGAAGGAGAGAGAAAGAGTTGGGAAAGGAAGTAGAGAGACAGACAACTGCTTAGAGAATAGTAAAATGCAGGAAAAAGCAAAGGGAAGGATTGAGTCAAAATAAACATGGAAAGAAAATGTGTTCTAGTAACAGCTTTTCTTGATAGTTATGTAAAAGAGGGACTGTATGATACATTAGAAAGCACAGGACCAATACAGACTGACCAAATTTCTTGATGTGAAGTACAGGAGACGCAGTGAAAGATTAAGTGAATATAAATGCACAGTAAATGTATCAAGATAGCATCATTTTCTTATTGATGATCAGAGTGGCATGCCTTCCTCTGCCATTTCAGACTCCAAAACACTTTCAAGTGAGATTCCACACACAATATTTTCTTTTCCCCTATTTCATTTGAAATCAACATATTGATCACTGTCTACAGCTCTTCCCTTGCCCTGAGGATTAGCAGTTTCCATACATAAGCTCAAAGAGTCTGAAATAAAAATACTTTTATTAGTGCACTAAGAATGTCTGCACTTCCCAGACCAGTCCTTGTATTACCAAAAGTCTTTATTGCTAAAACAGCAAAAAGAGAATGGCAGAAGCTGAAATAAGAATAAAAATGATGGCACAGAATACATATGAAATCAATACAGAACAGCTTTAAGAACAAAGAGGAGTTGAAGTAATGCCTGCATGCATTTGGCAGGAAAACAGACACTCAAAAAAGCATATAGCTAGCTAGAACAAGCATTTATAAATAGTTTCCTATGTTCTTTCTAAATTGTATTGTGGATGAATGATTTTGGGAATGACCAAATATTAAATAAATTAAAGTGTATTGAAGGTAGAAATGACCATACGTGGGGCTCAGTTTGGACACAAATTACCACAGAGAGGACTAGATTTTCAGATGGACACCTATATTTGGGATTCAGACAGTCCACTGAGTGTTTTAAAATATTAACTGATAAAAATGTAATTGACAGTAACTATCATTATTTGGAACTATGACTAGCACCAATTAATTAGACTATATAATTAAAAATTATTATTGTTGTTATTCCTGATGTATTAATTGTAAGAGAATTCTCACAATACTCTGTAAGATAAAGTGTTATCGTGCCCATTTCACAAGGGAGGGGCTTCAGTACAGCATTGGCCTGACTTGTCAAAAGTTAAGCCTGTGAAACAGAAATTAGTTCTCCAGACTCTCCTCCCAATCTTGTGCTTTAGCTTGTAACTACACCTCCTCTCCTATCCGCTGTTCATTTAAGAGTTACTTAACATCTTTCACTCTCACAGGTAGAGGAAGGAAGTTTGTATAAATAATACAATTGTGAAAACCACTTGTAACACCAAAAAAAATACATGCCCTGTATGTTTAAGGCAATCCTATGTTCTCTGTCTCACCCTGGCTATAGTATAACTCAGAACAATATAGAATCATAGAAAGTCCAACCTCCTGTTCAAAGTAGGACCATTCCCAACTAGATCATCCCAGCCAAACCTTTGTCTAGCCAGGTTTTGAAAACATGCAAGGATGAAGCTCCTACCACCTCTCTGGGTAACCTGTTTTAGTGTTTTACTACCCTCCTAATGAGAAAACTTCCTAATATCTAACCTAAACTTCCCTTGCTGCAACTTGAGAGCCTTGCTCCTTGTTCTGTCATCTGCCACCACTGAGAACAGTTTAGATCCATTCTCTTTGGAACCACCCTTCAGGTAGTGAAGGCTGCTATTAAATCCCCTCCCAGTCTTCTCTTCTCTAGACTAAATAAGCCCAGTTCCCTCAGTCTTTTCTCATAAGTCATGTCTCCCAGTCCCCTCCCATTTTTGTTGCCCTCTGCTGGACCCTCTCCAATTTGTCCACATCCTTTCTGTACTGGGGGGCCCAAAACTGAACACAATACTCCAGATGTGGCCTCACCAGTGCTGAATAGAGGGGAAGAATCACTTCCCTTGACCTACTGGCAGCACACCTACTAATGCAGCCCAGTATGCCATTAGCCCTCTTGGCAACAAGGGCATACTGCTGGCTCATATTGAGCTTATTGTCTACTGTACCACCAGGCCCTTTTCTGCAGAGCTGCTACCCAGCCAGTCAGTCCTCAGCCTGTCCTGGTGCATGGTATTGTTCTGTCCTAAGTGCAGGATTTTTCACTTGTCCTTGTTGAACCTCATGAGATTTCTTTGGGCCCAGTCTTCCAATTTGTCTAGGTCACTTTGAATCCTAGCCCTATCCTCCAGTATATCTACTACTTCCCACAGCTTGGTGTCATCTGCAAACTTGCTGAGGGTGCGCTCTATGCCATCCTCCAGGTCACTGATGAAGACGTTGAACAAAACTGACCTCACAACCAACCCCTGGGGCATTCCACTTGATACCGGCTGCCAACTAGACATTGGACCACTGATTACTACTCTCTAAGCCTGATGCTCCAGCCAGTTTTCTATTCACCTTACAGTTCATTCATCTAGCCCATACTTCCTTAGCATGTTTCTGAGAATGCTGTGCGACAGTGTTTCCCAACATTTTGCAGCCCAAGGCACACTTACATTAATAAAAATTTTCTGTGGCACACCTGTTAAGGCATTTCTCATCCTCATACCTACTGTAGCTCATTGCCATGGCAAAATTCCGCAGCCCACCTGTTCATTTCTGATGGCACACTTTTGTGCCACGGCAGACTGGTTGGGAAACACTACTGTGGGAGACTGCTAAGATCAAGTTATGCCACATCCACTGGTTTCCCTGCATCCACAGAGCCAGTCACCTCGTCATATAAAGCAATCAGGTTGGTGAGGCATGACTTACCCCTCGTGAATCTATGCTGACTGTTCCTAATCACCTTTTTCTCCTCCAAGTGCTTGGAAATGGTTTCCTTGAGGATCTGCTCCATGATTTTTCCAGGGACTGAGGTGAGGCTGACTGGTCTGTAGATCCCCAGATCCTCCTTTTTCCCTTTCTTAAATATGACCACTATGTTTGCCCTTTTCCAATCATCTGGGATCTCTCCTGATTGCCATGAGTTTTCACAGATGATGGCCAATGGCTCTGGAATTACATCAGCCAACTCCCTCAGCATGCTCAGGTGCATCCCATACGGTGCCATGGACTGTACACATCCAGCTTTTCTAAGTAGTCCCTAACCTGTTCTTTCAGCACTGAGAGCTGCTCCCCTCCTCCCCAAAATGTACTGCCCACTACAAGAGTCTGGGAGCTGACCTTGCCTGCGAAGACTGAGGCAAAAAAGGCATTGAGCACTTCAGCCTTATCTGCATCCTCTATCACAAGGCTGCCTCCCCCATTCAGTAATGGATCCACACTTTTCCTGATCCTCCCCTTGCTACTGACATACTTATAGAAACCCTTCTTCTTACCCTTCACATCCCTTGCTAGCTGCAACTCCAATTGTGCTTTGGCCTTCCTGACTTCGTCCCTGCATCCCTGAGTAATACTCTAATATTCTTGCCTAGTTATTTGTTCAAGTTTCCACTTCATATAAGCTTCCTTTTTCTCATTTACTTTACTGAAGAGTTCCATGCTAAGACAAGCTGGTCTTCTAGTATACTTGTTAGTCTTCCTGCACATAGGGATGGTTTGTTCCTGTACTCTCGGTAAGGCTTCTTTAAAGTACAGCCAGCTCCCCTGGACTCCTTTTCTCCTCAGACTGGCTTCCCAGGGGATCCTGCCCATGAGTTCCCTGGGCGAGTCGAAGTCTGCTTTTCTGAAGTCCAGGGTCCTTACTCTGCTGCTCTCCAGCCTTCTTTTCCTCAGGATCCTGAACTCAATGATTGTATGGTCACTACTGCCCAAGTTGCCATCCACTACTACATTCCTCACCAATTCTTCCCTGTTTGTGAGCAGGAGATCAAGAAGAGCATGGACCCTAGTTGGCTACTCTGTCACTTATACCAGGAAGTTGTTGCCAACACTCTCCAAAAACTTCTTGGATTGCCTGTGCACTACTGTATTGACCTCCCAACAGATGTCAGGGTGATTGAAGTCCCCCATGAGAACCAGGGCCTCTGATTCTTCTGCTAGGAAACCAGGAAACTTCTGCTAGCTGTTTGAAGAAAGCCTTATTCACGACGTCCTCCTGGTCTGCTGGTGTATAGCAGACCCCCACCATGACATCACCCTTGTTGCTCTCCCCTCTGACCTTAACCCAGAGACTTTCTACAGGCCTATCTCCAGCTTCATACTGGAGGTCTGAACAATCATGTGGCTCTTTTACATAAAGTACAACTCCTCCTCCTCTTCTCCCCACCTGTCCTTCTTGAACAGCTTGTACCCATCCATTACAGTGCTCCAGTCATGCAAGCTCCCACCAAGTCTCTGTTATTCCAATCATGTCATAGTTCTGTGTGTCTGTGGCAGAGCTATTTAAAGATTTTGCTGTGGGGAGTTAGAAAGCCTAATTGTCATTTTCACTTTAACTTTCCCTGAAAACAATGGCAGCAGGGCCCGGTTTTCAAGTATACAGGTGTGCAAGTGCACACATAAATATATAAATAACTGTGCAGTCTTTGTGCAAGAGCACTAAGGGAGATGGCAGGAAGACCTTTTTTCCCCTCTCCCCACCTTCCTGCATGGAGTTGGCAGCACCAAAGTGAAGGGATTCAGTTTCTGTGTAATTACTGGGAAGGCCTTACCTCAGTGTTGCTGCACAAGGGGTCTGTAGACAGGCATCAATGTGTTTGAGGGAAAATGGAGAAGAGAAGCCAGAGTACATTTTATGCTACTTCTCTCAGGTCTGCCACTCTCCCCTGCTAGCCAGACTTTTATGAGTATATGCAAGGAATGGTCTTACAGTTTTAGTGGAATGAAAACACATTCCAGGATGCACAATAGAAAGAAGCTTTATTATTTAGTGAATTATTTTTAATTTGTCACTTGGCAAAAGAAGTCAGCTTGACAAAATTCTCTGAAGTCATATTAGCACCAATCCCCTCTTCTTTCCCCAGGAGCCAAATCAAAGGCTTCATGCAGTAAATTGGCAACTTGCTTCATTCTTACCTGCATGGCCAAGCAAAGTGTGTTCAGCATGATGAGGACAAACATGATGTATTCAAACCCAGTGGAGTTCACCACATACCAGAACTTGTACTGATAAGGATTTTTTGGAATGTATCTACGCAGTGGACGTGCCTTCAAGGCATATTCTACACACTGGCGCTGTAAAAGCAGAAATGTAAAAAAACTGTTGTGAAAGTTTCAGTGGAGGCTTTTAAATGAGAATACCTAGCATTTCATGTCTGACTGCTGGTATTATAAATCCCTTTATTACACCTACACCAATCAGTAGGAATATAACTTACTCTAAGTGCCATGTTTCACTAGGAATGTTTATTATTAAACACAGTAATCAAGTTTAGTAGCTCCCATCTGATTTTTACAGCAGTATATTAATAATATATACTGATAAGTTGCATAAGAAAAAGCAGTAAGATAATGGTAAGGAAAATTCTAAGATATTTAGCTCATATATGGTGTCTTGCATCATCAGAGGGATAACCAAAGAGCACTGATCCTGATAAAGCCTATTAAACTCACCCTAACTTATCTCAACTAATAGACTTGATTTATTGATTGATAACGCAGATATTGTCTGTTTTGGGTCTTTGGTCATCGGTGTAGCTAGAACAGTGCAAACCCATAGGGATAATATGATATGTACTGGTGCAAAGCGAATCGTATTGTTACAGTTTTGAAAGCTGGACTAACTGCACCAATAAAATCATACTTCAGAGGTGTAAACTGTATCCAAAATAAGGGGTTTGTACCAGCCCAGGTCCACTGGGTTCTGAATTCTTCATGCAGACTGGGCTTCAAAATGATTAGATTGTAACCATCTGAAGAATCTCAACATACCCATTTCAGAAAATACTATTGAGTCCTACAATCAGAGAATTTAAGCACATAAGAGAGGATAGATTCATTTTTTCTGAATGTGTAAATCACAGCATATATCCACTAACGAATAGGAAACAATGGCAAAGTAATCTAAGCAAATTCCTTGGTGTGGGGTCTATTCCAGGATACTCTATGTGTGTGTAAAATACTTTTCATATCTCCATTTCTGGCATCAAGCCCAGTCTGTAACTGTTCTCTTTTCCTTGGTGTGCAATAAACTATTACGTATCCTAGGGAAAAGACCAAAATGTTTGGCTTTCCCAGAAAAGGGCTACAGAATAATTTTGACTTTGACTTTTAGAGAATTCAGTCTTTGTACTGTGTAATTTTTGTGTCTAGTGCCCTCTTCTGACCCACAGGAGAATGCTGGTTTTGTGTATGGCATAAACAAAAGTAGATAACTTTATAAGCAAAAAAAAAAAAATTCATATATTTTAACCTGATTTTTATCCAGCTCACAGTTCTTGTATTCTTGTTCTCCCTGTTCTTGGAAGGTAACAATGACAAAACCGACAAATATGTTCATCATAAAGAAAGCAATGATGATGATATATATGATAAAGAAGATGGAAATCTCCACTCTGTAGTTATATACTGGGCCTACATTCTCTCCATTTGAGTCTATGGCTTTGTACAGTAATCTGGAAAACAAAAAAGCAAAATATGTTAACTGTTGTTATAATGCTAAGCCTGCAGATTGTAATTTCACTTAGCCATTGGATAGTTATTGAAAATCTGGTCTACCTTACTTGAAGCCATCTACCAAAATTTCACCAAACGGACAAAAGCTTTACATAATAACCTTATAACATATAACAACATTTAAAAGGAGTAAAACATCTCAGAGGATTATTTCTATTGTAGTTAAAGTGACTGTTAGAGTAAAGGCTGAAAGAGCAGGTATTAACCAATTTAAGATTTCACTGATTTCAACGGAAACAAAAATATGTGAAAAACAGAAGTCAATACACAAACCATCAGTCATTTAGTGCTCTAAGGATCCAAACTTGATTGATATCCAATCTTGTGCCAATAATTTTAAAGCAAAATTGTCTTTGCCAATAAAAGAAAGCTCAGTTATTTAGCAGTTCTGAAAACCAACCTGATTTCATGTGTATTGCAGATGGACTCACAGTCACTGAGTTGTGCTTAGCAAAGTAAAGTCAGAAAATTAAAAATTAGAACTGGAAGCCTGTTCTTGAGCAGGAAGCGCCCACACGTCCCTAAAAGGCTAAAAAGCCAGTAAATTGCTGATGGCAAAATGGCTGGAATACACTGTCCAAAGATTACCCCAAACACACTTTACAATTAAAGTCCCTCCCGTGATAATTTTTGCTGCTCTGAATTGTAAATGGCAAACTTAGCTTCATAAGCAAATAGGTGAAGAAATACAGAAGCTTACTGTAGCCACTGACAAAGTAAAAGATGGAGTTGGAAAGGGAAGTGTTACAACCAGTACTATATTTTTAAATTAAGATTTATCAAAATGTCAGCAGCCTTGCCTTGATCTCCCTTTCTTTAGTGGGAATGAGGCCTTGTGCCTCAGAGGAAAACTGATCCTGCAAGGTGCTGAGTGCCACAATTCCCCTTGGCACAGCTGGAAGTAAAGAAAACTCAGCAATTTCCAGGATCAGGTTGAGAATCTCCAGGGTCCCAGAGCACAGATGCTTGTGTACTATCCGGACAGTGCCAGGATACAAAGCAGCCCTGACAAAGTAATTTCAGCGGTGTTATAGAAACATTCATGGTTCACTTACGCTGGCCAGCCTTCAAAGGTAGAAACAGTGAAAAGGGCCATCATGGCAGACAGCACATTGTCAAAGTTGAAATCACTATTTTGCCAAACCCTTTCTCTAACCACTGGATTATCAACATCTCCATCTTTATAAACAATGTATATTCCCCTGTGGAAAAAAAATAGAAATTGTGATATGGAAAGCATTAAATTATTCTCAGAATGATGCAGTTCTTTTCTTGAAATATCTGATCTTTGTTATCAGTTAATGGATGCTAGTTTGCTTATAACACCAAAATCACAGTTGGATTTTAGGATGTTGATTCAGACTTAAAAAAACCTAAATGGCCTATGATCTGCCTACCTGTGTTAGTTATAATGCTCAGAGGCTTCTGGGTATGAATGAATTACAATCAAAATTATTATAATGAGGAGTAGCAGCAGTAAAATGTGATGTGTCAAATTCATAATAGAAAAAGAGTTCTCACCGGCACTCCTCTGGATTCTGCTTTGCTTCATCACTACACCGATAGAATTTTTCCTACATATAAAACAAAAATGTAGGTAACCTATAGAACATAAAAGTTAACTTTAAGACCTTACGACTGGCCTGGCAGGGAACCAAGTCATTTCCAATGCAGAACCCCACTGAAGTCAGTTTGGTTTTGTCAATGCACTCCCTGGTGCAGGATATGTTTTGGAAGAATGTGTTTATTTACCTTGAATAGCTGTACACCAATACAGGCGAACATGAACTGCAGCAGGGTTGTAACAATCATGATATTGCCAATAGTTCTAATAGCAACAAAGACACATTGAACAACGTGCTGTGAAGAAAAGGGGGGCAGGGGAAAAGAATGTTAATACAACTGAATTTTATTACTGAGTGTTATGAAAGTGTACAAAGTATTATAACAATGTATTTCCATATATTTAGATAATTTCACTCCTAAAATTAACCAGTCATAAAACAGACTGAATGTTTCTGGTACTGCTTTAATGTTCTTACCATAAATTAGAATGATTTCTGAATTTACCTGCAGTATGTTGGATGTAGGTTACTTCATATCTTAAAGTGACAGGCAGCCATGTATGCAGTGTACAATTAAAATGAATAAATGGCAAAGATACATTTGCAAGCAGTATGGGCCTAAATCTAGTCTTAGTGAAGCTGATGTTGTTCCAGATTTAAATGGCTACAAAACATGACAGAATTGAGCCTAGAATGTCTAAGAACCCAGAACTGATTAAGGGTCCGGCTCTGTGTTCTTCTCCAGGCAAATTCCCCTTTGACTTCAGTAGGGGCTTTGCCTGCAGTAGGACTGCAGAATGAGGCCAACTGAAACAGAACATATAAAAAAAAATATAAAAACCTTCAGTCCCTTTGCTCTGTTTATTGCCCTTAGGGGTCTCAAGACTCTTAAAACTCTCAGTATCTTCACAACTGAGATTGCACTTGACCTAGGCAGAAAAGAAAAAAACATTAGTCGCTTACTTTTTCGGTTTATTATTTTTCTGTTATCTAATTTACTAAAATTACCGTTGCTCCTGCAGTTTCCCTGCACATGGAAAAAATCTTAGCATTCTTTAACTTAGAATTTTGAAATACTCAGCTGCTTTATTACTACTAGGGCATGTCTACATGTGCATTAATGCACTGTAGTTACTGTGCATTAAGTATAGTACCTGTAATAACAGGTACTAACTCAATTCTCAGTAATCGGGCACTACCGAGCAGCAGTACAGTGAACATCTTTTGAGTGATGCTAATGCACAGTAGACTAATTCTGCTGTGCATTAGCACAGCTTTTACTGTTGTGCTAATGCACAGTAGAACTAGTTTATTGCTCATTTAGTGTCTCAAGTAGATGCACCCCCAGAGAATGCTGATTTAATCCCATAAATATCAAGAATGTAATTTGGTTTCAGAAGCAATGTGGGAATCATTAGTACATGAGCTGGTCTTACAATGTGAAGCAGATTAAGTTTGGTCCTTGGGAAAAGATAGTAGCTAAAGTATTATTCAGTACTGTCCTTTGACAAGCTAAGTACTCTATCCTGTGATTCATTAAGGGACTCCTATGAAATAGTGAGTTCCCTCATTTTCAGTCCAGTGGCTCAGGTGCTCAGCACTACACAAGAGATGCTCAACATTTCACATAACTATTATTTTGTTTGTCGTAGGGAAGTAGAATGAAACATTTTAGCCAGTGTCAAGTAACAGGGTTTGTAGTTTCACATGGGGTGGTACCACATGATCTTTTAAATTATGTAATGTGATACTATCATGACCAGCCAAGAGCAGATATAGTAGTTGAATAAAAAATGGGAAAGA